ATTCCCCGGTCGATATGGAATGCTCTAGCGCCTTTTCAGAAGTATGGTGTCTCGTGGATTGTGCGGAATAATGGCCGTGCACTCCTCGCTGATGAGCCGGGTCTCGGAAAGACCATTCAAGCGATCGGTGCTGCGTGACTCCTCGGCGTGAAGCTTGGCGAATGGTCTTGAAAAATTTAGTTACTTAATTTAAGTCTCCACAGGTGTGCGTATTACCATGAATGGCCGGTGCTCGTTGTGTCACCCTCGTCAGCAAGATTTCACTGGGAGGCTGAGTTTCTCCAGTGGTTACCAGATGAGGATTACTTACCTCGCGATGGCATACTTGTCATCACATCAGAACGCATAGCAGCGACAACGGCCGTCGATCGTGCGAAAATACTTGTAACCTCGTATGATCTTGTGCATCGCGAAGCTGTTAGAAAGACGCTGACTCGTGTTGCACCGAATGTGATCATTTGTGACGAGTAAGCAGACGGAGCAAGCACACCCATACATATATTTATCGTGTTGCAACAAATTGGATGGAGTTTACGCTCATGTAACATTTCCGTATATAGGTGCCATTATCTTAAAAATGGGAAGGCACAGCGAACTAAGGCACTCCTTCCAATCATTAAAGCATCACGAAGGGCCATCTTATTGAGTGGCACGCCTGCGCTGAGCCGGCCAATGGAAGTGTTTTGGCAGCTCCATGCGCTTGATGACAAGCAGTGGACGGACCCGGCCGACTTCAACAAACGGTACTGCAGCGGCCGCAGGAAAAAAGACGATCCAAAAGACACCAACGAAGATGGTGAGAAGAAGAAAGAGTATTCAGCAGCTTCCAATCTAGAAGAGCTTCACACTCTACTCCGTGCGACTCTCATGCTACGCCGCAACAAAGCCTCAATCCTGACACAACTCCCACCAAAACGGCGGGCCTGCCGCAGAGTCCGCTCGAACACACAGCTAATTTTCAGATACAAGCCCAGAAACTGATGCCCTGCAATTGTGATTTGCACTATGTGTCAGGTACAGCGCAAAGTGTCGATTGATGATGTCTCTTTGGCACTCGAATTGCGGTCCGACTTAGAGGAGTTTCGTGCGAGAGCATCTGAGCTCGCTGAGCTATCCAATAACCAAAAAAGGGCAAGGCGCAAGCGCAGTAAAAGGAGCTGGCTTGGAGTTAAAGAAGACACGCATGTGACACTGTCAACTACGCTATCGGGATATGCTACCATTGAGCGGGAGGATCTCCAATCTCCTGAAATGGTTCGCAAAGAGATGGCTGCGAAAAAGAAAGCCCTTCTTATGGAACTCTTTCGGCGGTCAGGTCCCGCCAAGCTACCGGCAATTGAACGTCGTATTTCTGATCTGCTCCACGGTGTGGACGAGGAAAGGTTTTCAGGAAAGATGCTTGTCTTTGCGCACCATCGCAAGGTTCTCGACACTCTTGCTAATGGTATCCTCCGCGATATCAAGTACATTCGTATTGATGGCACTACACCAGCCAAGGACCGCCAATCACGAGTCACCACATTCCAAAATGATGCCAAGGTTCGCGTTGCCCTCCTTGGCATCACCGCCGCTGGTATTGCGCTCACACTGACTGCTGCTTCGCGTGTCATATTTACTGAGCTCTATTGGACGCCAGCAGCTTTGCTTCAAGCTGAAGATCGTGCACATCGCATTGGCCAAACATCGGAGGTGGTTGTTGAGTACCTCCTGGCTGACGATTGTGTCGATGAGATTCTCTGGCCCTTGATTCAACACAAGATGCTCATGCTGGGCGAATTATTTGAAAATAAGAAGGACCAGTGTCTGCACTCTTCGAATGAAAAAGCACAGGACATGGGTACACTTATAAAATCGAAATGCGATGCCAATATTAACGATGAAACCGATGATGGCAAGCGTGATGTTGACGACATCAGCAGTAATGAGGATCCCTTACTGGAGCTCGACGAGCTAGAACAACTTCATCACGAAGATCCTGAGGCGGTCGATCTTGAACACGACAATGATGAGAACAACGGTCGCATTACCCCCCCCCCGCAGTACCCCACCCGCCAAGATCCAGATGCTGAGATATGCTTTCAGTCAGACTCTTTCCACCGTGCTGACGATGACAACGCAGCTGAAATAGTAGCCAATCTTCTCAATGGTGACCAATTTCTTGGCGACTTTTGATACGCCTCCGTTTCGATTCGTGTCATTGAGTGTGCCTATTCTTGGCGCCTATTCTTGGATACCCTGTTGATTATTCATTGATTATTCATTGATTATTCATGCCGATACCCGCGCTCCCGCAGTTCCCAACCCACGATGCGTCCGAACTCCTTTACGAACGCCGGGCTTTCGCTGCCCTACTAGTCCCGACTAACCTACTGTGCGCTTCATTTGCAAAGGATCAACATAAAACCAACTTTCCGGGCCGTTACGGCGACCAACATCACCGGAGAAGCAGCTCCATCCGTTCTCCTGACTCCTCATGAAGCCCTGCGGCCCACACACTGCCTTGTGGCGGCTTCTGGCGGCCACAAATAACTTCAACCATAGAGCTGCATGTTCAACTTGAACTTCAACATGGGATCGGGCAGGCGCGTTTCAGCCACTTCTTTGCTCTAGGATTGTTGGAATAGATCAGAAGTGTATGCGGAGGCTTTATTCCAACGGATTTGCACGCGTTTTGTGATCCGCTAATCGAATTTTGTTGATCCGTATTACGAAGCGCACAGTAGGTTAGTCGGGGCCAAGTACTATCGGGTGTTAGGTTTATGCTACTCTGCTGTCGTCGCTCAGAATGCGAGTCTGGTTGCAGCGGATTTCCTGGCGATTCCGCCGAAGTACTAGTCGGCTCCAGAGATAATATTAGGCGTGTACCGCGCCTAGCTAGACCAGTCGGGGTAATCCTGGAGACGATGGGCGTAGGCGATGGGCGGTCGTGGGGATTTGTGAGTCGACCTGCTCATATATACTGGCATGGCCTCGTATTACCGAGGCCGCCACTGTCGTAGCACTATAGTGTGCTCAATGGAAGGAGGGGGGGGGGGGCTCGGAACGAGGGAGGTGCCAAAAGCCCTGCTATTAGGTACTAGGGTAAGAGCCAGCACCTGCGGGGAAAATGGCATCTAGGAGCCCCGCGCGGTCGAAAAAAGCTCCTGCGGACGCGCCTGGGAGGCGCGTCCGCAGGGAGTCGTCGCCCCTTCCGGGGCTCCGAAAACAGACCCTTCACCGACGTACGTGGTACGGCCGCTACGCGGCCGTGCTCCCCCCGGGGCCCCGGGCACGCGGCCAGGCACGGGGGCCGGCACGGGCTCGGCACACGGCGCGGGGCCCGGCACGCGGCCCCGGGCACGGGCCGGGCACGGGCCTGGGGCGTGGCCCGGGCACACACCGTCGCGCGGGGGCCCTTAGTGGGAGATACGAAAGGCAAGTGGACGGAAACTAACTAGGGTCAAAAGCCAACCCCGACAGCCGCCTGGACAGCCGTATCCGTACTACAGCGAGTTGCTGTGGCAGCCGCTCGCCAACAGTATGACGTCGATATTACAGCCAAAGTTTCACTTCGCCGAGACACAGAGCTTCAGCGTCGTCGACGCTGGGCCGTGTAAAGTAGCAGATGAAGAAACTGATATCGGGGTCGATGTAGGGGCTCTATCAGCGTCCTGCACACGACTGGCATCCTCAATAAAGGAGATGAAAAAAGCAGGCGCGGCTCCAGAAAAAATCCAGTCGGCTGTAGATGAGCTGCACACGCTTCGCAATGATCTAGCGGCGGCAACAGTAGCCCTGGAGAGTGATGAATTCGAGAACAGCCTGAACCGTAAGCTGTTTGACGAGACTGTGCTCCGGCGAATGTTTGTTGTCCCAGCATTCGAAATACATGGTGGCGTCACCGGTTTGTTCGATTTGGGCCCACCAGGGTGTGCGCTCAAGGCCAACGTAGTTGATATCTGGCGGCGACATTTTGTTCTTGAAGAGAAAATGCTCGAGATGGAGTGCACGTGTCTTACTCCAGAACCAGTGCTCAAGACGTCCGGACATGTTGACCGATTCACAGACTTGATGGTAAAAGATATTGAGACCGGTGACTGCTACCGGGCGGATAAACTGTTGGAGGATCACATTGACGCGTTGCTCAATGGTGGGACTGTTGTGCCAACTACCGCCGAGGAGCATAGAAAGGTTCAACGACAAGCTGATGCGTATTCCCCGGAGGAGCTTGGAAGCATCTTGGTTGAGTACGCCATCACGGCCCCGGCGACTGGCAACCAGCTCACCGCACCATTTGCCTTCAACCTCATGTTTGGCACAAAGATTGGTCCCAGTGGCACGCTCACCGGATATTTGAGACCAGAAACTGCGCAGGGGCTTTTTGTGAACTTCCGTCGACTTTTAGATTACAACAATGGACGCGTACCATTCGCTGCAGCACAGATCGGCCTTGGGTTTCGGAACGAAATTGCCCCGAAGAACGGACTTCTGCGCGTTCGGGAATTCACCATGGCAGAGATCGAGCATTTCGTGAACCCTGCTGAAAAGGAACATCCAAAATTTGCTTCCGTCCGTAACATAGTAATGAAACTGTTCGATCGCGATGCGCAGCTCGGAACTGGTCGCATTGCAGAGCTCACAGTTGGGGCCGCGGTGTCTGCAGGCACAATTGCCAATGAGACGTTGGCATATTTTATGGCGCGTACGCAACTATTCATGGTCAAGATTGGCATGGACCTAACTAAATTGCGCTTTCGTCAGCATCTTGCTACGGAGATGGCCCATTACGCTGCAGACTGCTGGGATCTTGAGATCTTTACTGCCTATGGCTGGATTGAGTGTGTTGGTCACGCCGATCGCGCGTGCTACGATCTTGCGGTGCACTCGGCCGCGACAGGCGTGCAGACTGAGGCCTTCAAGCAGCTTGATACACCAGTAGAGATGGAGAGCGTCACGTTGCTTCCCGACCGTAAAACTATCGGCCTCACCTTCAAGAAGGATCAAAAAGCGGTCTACGCAGCTCTTGATGCACTGCAGAGGGATGACTCAAAGCTCCGCGCGTTCGAGGCCACTCTTTCCACGGGGGAAGCGGTGTTGCATGACGGAGAAACTGCCTGGAAACTGACGCCCGACATGCTCGCTTTCAAGCGATCCAAAAAGCTAGTGCAAGTTGTCAAATTTATTCCTAGCGTCATTGAGCCATCGTTTGGTATTGGGCGTATTCTTCACGCACTCTTGGAGCACTCGTTCCACCAGCGTGATTCCAAGGATGAACAACGTGTCGTCATGCGCTTGGCCCCACCCGTTGCCCCCATCAAGTGCGGCATTTATAATCTCCAGACGAATGTTAAATTCATGCCTTTTGTTACTCGAATCGAGAAGCTTCTCACGGATGCCGGCATAACCAACAAAGCTGACACTTCCGGCCAGTCCGTTGGCAAGCGTTACGCCCGTGCTGATGAGCTTGGCACACCCTTCGGCGTTACCGTTGACTTTGACACCTTGATAGATCATTCTGTCACCCTCCGGGAACGAGACACCATGGCACAAGTACGTGTGAAGATAAGCGCTCTTCCTTCGCTACTCGAGGAGCTCTGTGACTTTTCCGACCACCCAAAACCATGGGCCTCGATCACATCTCGCTTTCAGCGTGTGTGTTGTGTCGAGGGTCCCATTCGGCACCAAGTGACTTCACGTTGCATCTTTTCCAGACCTGCGGAGCTAATCTGATGCGCATCAAGTTCGATGCGCATAGTGTAGATATCTAGGCAAAGCACAAAGTCTGATAATCTGACTTTGCGGCAGTCTATCCCGCAAACTGATGAATTTTCTCATCTTGAAGTATTCACATGACATCAAATGTTGGATGGCTGTCCGATGCAACATTATTCCTACAAAGTAACTTTCATGGTCGTGCCGCTTGGCGCCTTGTGGGACTGCGCAACATTTCCAGTCACTGTACCACTTCTCTTTACCCTTCCGTATCCGTATCCACGTGCCACACGCCCTGCACAAGCGGGTACGAGCCTTCATCTTCAGAAGCACCGTCTCTTTTACCGTGGGCCTACACGAGAGTGCACGAGGCACTCTGCGCCTCCCGTCTCAGAAAAAATGCGCCGAATTCCGATATAAGCTAAAACCAGGGCGCTCTTAAAAACCGATATAAGTTGGATTATTTCCAAAGCCCAGACGCGGGGGTGTTGTCCCCCCGAACCAACCCCGAACCCTCCGGTGGATGATGTCCAGATCAGTGACAGAGCGAGTATGCTCCACGCAGCTCCCCTAATTTTCGCGCCCCCCTAAATCCGCTCCCTAAATCCCGGAAGTCGCTCCACTGGCAGCGACGCCTCCCAAAACCAGGCGCCAGCGGAGGCGGAGCAGAGCCCGGGGAGCGCCGGGGTTCATTGACCGCCCCTAGACTCAGCATATCCGAGCATCGCCAGCCGCAGCCGGGCCTGATAGGCGAGTATGAGCGCCCCGGCATAGGGAGGATATCATAGCCCCGAGTTAAAGCAGCATCGCCCATCTAGCGAGCCCATGTTGCTTTTAGTTTTCTTCGCACGGGTCCTTTACAGGTCCTTTATTCCAGGCCCTCTTTCCGAAGTCCATGATATCAGCCTGAGGCTCTACCAGGTGGGTTTAACTTTTTTTAAATGAAGGAGGATAGGACAGGCCCCAATTAGGGTGCCTCGGTGTCATCTTGAGGAGGGTAGTTTGCCGGTCGTGCTGGTGGTAAGTCATACTAGCAGTGGTTCTTACGGCCACTGGGTGGGGCGCGAAGGCCCAGGCCCCATTGCACCCATCTTCAGTCCGCCCCGGCAAGTACTGCGGCTGGACTGGACCCGTTTCACCGATTTAATCAGATTCCAGCGCGCCTACCTTCCGTATTATTTGAGCCAGAAGTATCGGGGCTTTCAGATAATTGATAGCTTGTTTTCTTGGAGCTTCATCATATCGTTCATCGCTGCTCGTCTTAGAGGACGGTGACGATTGCGTAGGCTCATCGAATCCACCTGTACCAGAGAAGCGGAGAGGCGCGAGTCTCCATTTTCCACCCAATGCAAAGTTTGCTCGCCA